GGGCCCGGGCTTGGCCCCAGCCCCAGAGAAGCGCCACGGGGCCCGGGGCGCTGGGTCGGGGGTCCCCTCTGCCTCCCCCGAGACCCGCACGGCGCGGCGCGCTTCGCCCCTTGGTGGCGGGGCCGGCCGCCCCGGGATCCAGAGGGCGTTTCTGTTGCCCCCGGTAAGACCCTGCGGGGCAGCGGGGCTGTACGGCTGACAAAGATCCCCGGGATGGTTTCCCAAGCGCACAGCTGCGGGGCTCCGCGTTATTCGCAAAGAGGGTTGCTCCTCCCCACTTCATACCAAAATTACTAAGAGGAAGCAGGTGAGTCTCCCCTTAAGATATCCCAGGGCGTAGATGGGTTCCGTGGCTGACACCCCTGTAACCTTTCCGCTCCAGGGAGGTTTTAAGGGAGGCTCTGTGGGACCCTGCTTTCCTGTCAGCCAAAGCATACCCGATGTGGGAAGGGGATGAATTGTTGACTTGTGAACAGTGGTGGAAAATTAATGGAACTGCATTATGCCCTAAAATTGGCTTAATAATGACCAAAACATTTGCCATCTATACCGTCCCACGTGAACTGGCGTATTAAATAGCCAAAAAGATGGGAGAGAAAAAAGAGGAAGGCATGCATTTATGATTGCATTAGCTTTTATTGATTGAATATCCCACCACCATGAGATTCATACAGAATGTGAAAAATTTATTGTTATACTGCTCTGGGGGCGGCAGGGGGGAGAGAGATAAGAAAGAAGGGAAAGAAATGGGAGAGAGAAATCCCCACAAACAAATAAGTTGCAACACGGAACCTCTGAACTGAATAAGAGTCTTGATTTGTTTAATCTCTTAATTCAATTATATAGGACCTACTGATGATTTCCATTTGAGCTTTTTCAAGATGAAACTGATAGCTGGAATTCCTTTTTTCACTGATTGTCACCTTGAGATCAGCCCAGAGCATCTGGAAGAGTTGAAATTGTTCCTTCCCTGGCTTTTGGATTTTGCTATTGGTGCTTATTTGTTCTGGGCCAAATTGCCATTTATCCAGGGGAGAGAAATGATGGCATGACCACAATGGAGAACAAGCAAGTGTACATCCCCCAATGTTGTGGTGATGTTCCTAGATGTGAGGGCAGGACTAGCATCTGGTTCTGCTGCAGGATTTGATCCCTGTATCTGGATCACTCTGGTGCAGCCTGTTGTTACTGGCCATAGCAATTTCAGGAAGCAAAATCGTGCCTATCGCCCAAGGCATGGGCCATAGATCACTGATCATGATTCCTCCTGCTTTGAGGGCTTTGGCTGGGAGCTATAAAGTGCTGGTGCTGCTTTCTAGATCTGCCTTGCTATAGAGAATTCTTGGGAACCATTGTGGCTTGGTTGATCTGTTTCACTGGGTGAATGCTGTGGCTTGAGAAATGCCTCCTTCAAATCCTTGGTTGTGTGTGTCTGTCATGTGGATCTGAACAGATGCTGTGGTATTAGGGTTGTAAATGATGGATTTTGTGGTATGCTTTGGATGAGGCTAGAAGTATGCCTCGCTTTGTTTCCGGTGGTGCTTTTATAACCATTATGAAATTTAACAGTTTAGTTTCAAATGAAAACATTTAAACCTACCTCCACCCCATCACAGTTAAGTGTTTATAAAATACTAGTCCTTTTGCTCCTTAAATTCCTTCTTCTGTAGCTTCATATTTTGTCTGTCTTATTTGAGATGAAGATTAGGTTCTGCTTTTAATCAGGCATGCATTTTTTGAGGATATAATCTGAACATTATAATTATTATTTTCAACTTCAGAGAAAATACAGATGACATTAAAGACCAAGCTTTGGGTCTCTTCTGGCCACCACAGCCGAGCGCTTGGCAGGTGACCTGATTGGGAGTTGGTCTGTGTGACTAGAAGGATATGCCAGGAGTGAAGAAATACCCATGGTCTGGAACTTCAACACAGCATTGGACTTGAGAATCAGACATCCTGAAGTCAGCATTCTCACCATTGCTTCTTCTGAATCACAATCAGGTCTTGGAGTATAGTACTGAAGTCTGGTCGTTTCTGTGGTTCATATTCCCAGCATTTTAACATGAGCTGGTACATTTCCTCGGGACATTGGTCTGGAGGACTTAGACGGGTACCTGCATAAAAGGGATAACTAGGTCATGGAAGGGACTTCTAACAAGAAACAGAGCCAACATTGTTCACAGCTCACCTAGTATCTTTCTGAGATTTAAAACCAACCAACCAACCAACCAAACCAAACCAACCAAATCAGACAGTCCAACCAACCAATCACAAACCTGGCTGTACCAGTTAAAATTATGTGGCTGAACTCTGCACTAACTAGATTTTTCAAGTCATCCTCAAGGATAAGCTATCAGCATATTGCCTTGCAGTAATCCAGCTGGGAGGTTACCAGCACAAGAGCAGAGTCTCTTGATCTAGTAGGAATTACCTTAGCTGGCAAATCAGCCAAAGCTGATAAAATGGTCTTCCATTCTGCTGAAATCAACAAATGAATTTTAATTGTTGAGGTCCAACAGTAAAAGCCAATAGCAGTGATTTTTATCTTCAAAGTATCTTAATAATTAACAGCAGACCTTCCTGGAGTTCTAATGTCTCTTTCCAACATTTAGTTCTAATAAATCTTTTACCAGATGAAAAAGCCCTGCTGGAATATGAATAGTGAAATTGGCTGGTGTGGGTCTTCCGGGCTGTGTGGCCGTGTTCTGGAAGTTTTGTTTCCTAACGTTTCACCAGCATCTGTGACTGGCATCTTCAGAGGGCAGGAGCACAGAAAGGAGCAGTTCTCTCTGTGCCCAGGATGATGTGACCCTTTTGTGGTTATTTATAGAGATTCACAAACACCAGCACAGCTTCAATAAAAAAGA